AGCAACTTGATAGAATAGAATGTTATTAAGACACAGTTTGCTTAAAATCAATACTCAATTTGCACGAATAAAGTATGCCGTGCAACTGTTCAAACTGTGCAAGTGCATGCCGTCTTATTTACTCGTAAGTCGATTTGTTATAGGTTACATTACAGTCTGAGCTATAGTAGATGTTCCAAATACAGTAAAATTAAAAAATAATGAGTAGCGAAATAGCGAAATAGATCGCTACATTTTTTAAGCAGTAGCTGTAGTCAGTAGCGAACTACTTTTGTTCAAAAGTAGCAGTAGTTGTAGCTGACTACATATTTTTGAAGTAGCTGTAGTTATAGCGAACTACAAAAAGTTTGTAGTCAACCCACCCTTGCTGTTGAAAAAGTAATCAACTATATACTTCATAATCATGGTTACTGAAAAAAATGCAGTTGTTCGCTGCAGCGACAGTGCAACTACTGTCTAAAAAAGTAGAGCAAAAACTATACTCGCATCTTGAAAATTGTAATGTGCCTGTGGTATTTTCGTGCTCTTTTTTTTTTCTTTTGAGATATTAAAATCCTTTATATACGCTTCAGTAACCCAATACTGCAATAGCTATATAGTCAGGCATGCTTAAAAATGACTATAATTATTTAAAAACGTTGTCTTTGACTAAAAATATATATGTAAAGCCTCAAGGACGTTTCGACCAAGCTACTATACCGCGTTTAATAAACAAGAAGTCAAGACCACATCTTGCTTGGTCGAAACGTCCCTTTAGTCTTTATTTAAATAATATAAACTTGATGGAGCAGATTTCATGTATGAACTTTAAGATTGACGTTTACGCAAAACCCCAAACGCCAAACTTCAAATCGCATTTGAAAGTAAGGCTTCCAGTTTCGACAGCTAAAAGTAGAATTCATGCTCCAATTTTAATGCACAAGTTGCCCTAACTGCGAACAGCTAACAGTTGACTTCAAATTACGATTTGAAGTTTGCGGTTTGCCGTAAATGTCAATCTTGAAGTCTCTAATATGAACTTCGACAGACTACTGACATGCAGTGCTGACGCTCATGCTCTACAAAGTGTTGTTGCCTGTTAATCTGACATTGGCTTAAAAGGTTTCATCCCCTCCGCTGCCAGTAACGGCAACACTTCTACAGATCGAGTGAACAGGAGAAATCACGCAATAACATTTCGAATTTTGTTTAGATTAATTTACGATACAATTTCAATGATTTACGATTTAAAGTACGGATTTCACTATACTCTATATAGGCGTAGTTCAAGTCTGCTGGATCGAAAATGAAGTTTAACTTGACATCTTGACTATCCGGCTGACACTATACAATCACGCTGTTGGGATTTCCTAATATACGCTTTGATTTAATTATATATATATATGTTATATACCTTACGTTTACTTAATTTACACAATTTTGACTAATCTATAACAATCGTCATACACATCAGCTGTTGTAAAACTTTTACCTTGATCAACTTCAAAAACTTATTTCGCTCCTTGGCTTTAATTGGTGATGCTAAATTGTTTTCTCCAAGCAATATTTCCCAGTCGTTGTGTTGTGGTTGCCGTATAGAAAATATTGACATTAGAATCAACTAAAAATGGCTTTACCTGCCGTCGTCAAATTGTCCTAGTTAATTGTCCTGCTGGGTTCATGTAACAGCCATACTTCATAATCTTAGCTGGATATCGTTTGGTGTAAAGAAATGTAAATTGTATTCCTACGCACGGCCATAATTTCAACCCACGGCCACGCAGTTATGACATTATGGTTGAAACCGGATCAAATTGTGTCTTGTGGTTTGCAATGCTATGAGTACCTGAGTGGCTTCTATCATTTTTTGCGAAATTATGTTGAAAAAATTATCTGCTCAAAACATCCAAACATACCACCTTCCAACACTGTTGTATTTATGCATGAGTAGTAAGCATACCAGGATAAACAGAGGATATTATTAGATGACCGTACGAAGGTATGATCAGAATTTTCTTTTCAATATATATCTCTCACGATTGAGTGAAGCGAACATGCAGACAAGAAAGTTCAGAGCAGTTGTCTAGCGAACTTTTAATTGATTTGTATCCTGAAACAATCTTGATTAGTTGATTGATAGAGATGCAGCGGGGAAGAAGGGGATGGGGTGGTCACACGCAGGTAGGGGGAGTGGTCACATGCACACGTGGAAGAGCTAGTAACGCGGTAATGGCTAACTTTCGGGTTCAATATTAAACTATAGATATAGTTCAAATCTAGGTCACTGCCTGATGACTTATTCAAAGTCCGTTATCTTACTAAGTCGTCTTAACGCAAGGTACTTAACTATAAACCTTTACATCGTACGTGAGTCGTCCGTTACTTGGCAAAAATCAGGAGCTAGCGTAATTCGGCACGAAGGAAAAAACATAAAACAAACATGAACTATGAAGCGAATTTATCCTTTCTTTGGATGGACCAGCTTTCGTGTTATAAACAAACCCGATGAAGACAATTATATATGCATGGAATGGAAAATACGTTAATAGATAAGATCCTCTAGTAGCTTTTAAAGTCAGAAACAACTTTTTCAAATGAGTTCTTCAACAAAGATTGGAGGGGATACACCTATGCCCATAACCACAAATGGTACAATTTTCAACGAATAATTTATTTTAGTAACCACAGCTGTTGTCAACTGCAAGTAAGGATTTATTGATTAGCACACCCCCGCTTACACATAAGCCAGTTTCCACTTCAATCATGTCGCACCGAAACGTAGCGTATTTCTTTGTTTCTTGAGCGGTCGTGTCGGGAACTAATGACTTCGGCACAAAAGAAAATGCTATACAGTACGTTACAATACAGTTGAAGTGGAAAACAGACTTTACTAAACTATTTTGAAACGTCATGGTTCATGTGAGTTTTCACATCTCACCCAGCATTAATTAAGATGAAACACACTCCGAATATTAACATCTTCTAAACTCGAGCTATTTAAAAGATAACAAAATTCAAGGTAATATTTCTACTCAGTTTATTTCGAAATAAACTTACAGAATACAGTGAATTTTGTTATCTTGTTTAAATAGCTCGAATCTTGAGTTAATTTACAAGATTTTAATATTCGGAGTGTGTTTCACCTTATATTTTGCGAAATTGTCTGTTTGGTAAAGGATTTTGAATTAATCACTCAGTATTAAGATTTGGAGGTTTTGTCTGGATTCCGATTATGTGTGAGATGTTATGGAGGTTTAGATTTGACGTGCCACTACCCCTCACTGGCTTAGTACGCATCTGGGGCCGGTTGCATGTATAAAACTCTTAATCACTTTTTTAATCACTATTTTGTAGTTAAATAGTGATTAACTCTCAAATACGTGCTTCTTATTGGATGACGTTTCCACTAACTTTTGTAGTTAACTTTAGTCACTTTTTTAAATACAACCGGCCCCAGATTGGTTAATCGGATATATCAAACTCATCTGATTTGTTGATGGTCTCCTCTCTCTCACATGGAAGTCAAATCTGAACCTCTATATATTGTCGTCAGGATTTTTAAGATTGCGTCTTATTAGCGTTGTGTCAGCGTCCAACAGTCCTATATGGATGAACACTTTTCAAAAATACAGCACTGCCTAGAAATAAGTTAACACTGCGGTTCGTACGGTTTGCGGTCGCTGCTCGTGCGGTTGCGGTTCGTGCGGTTTGCGGTTGCGGTTCATGCAATATGCGGTTGCGGTTCGTGCGGTTTGCGGTCGCGGTTTGTGCAATTTGCGGTTGCGGTTCGTGCGGCTTTTTCACCGACCGCAGAAAACTATGCCGTCGTGTTCCGACGTTTCCCGACTACAACGGTTATCATATACGCTTTCTAGTTACAAGATTTATATTTCAATATTGCGATTATATTTGTAGGTCTTTATTATATACTATGTAAAACATGCCGTATAGTATACCGGCACCCGTGATATGAATTTTACTGTATGTGGGTTATAAGTTATATATAAGTTATTTATCATCATTATCAAATAAACAGAATTACTGTAATGTTATACTCAATTAAGCCAGCAAAAATATGATAGCAAATGTTTTACTATCAAATACAGTGGCGTGGTGGCTGGGGGGGGGGCATGGCCCCCAGCGATGGTTTCAAGAGGGGCGCCGAAATGCCATTTGTAAAAATGGACCATGTCAGCCACCCGAATCCGTTTTATCTGAGAGAAAAAAGAAAATTGGAGAACGTAACCGGTACTGCTCGCAGGCGGTATTCTTTCACGAAGATCAAACTAGGCGCAAATGACTTTCATACTCGCTAAGTAAGGATTGTCTATTCTGCCTCCTATGTCTCCTATTTTCAGATGAATGTTTAAGAGGCGAAAACACGCGCCACAACCAAGGAAATGCTTTTACGAATGCTGGGTACTCGAACTGGAAGAAGCAGTACAGTGATATCACAAAGCACGAAAAGTTCGAAAGTCATATAAATGCCAAGATTGCTCAAGTTATCTTTTTGCAAGGACGATCAATCGATTCATGCTTGAAGCAACAAGAAAAGACCGAAATTTTGCGTCGGAAGAAAGAAGTCGTGGCAAACCGCAGCCATTATGAAACGTGTTGTCGACACTGTTGTACATTTGGGAAAGCAGGGACTTGCTTCCAGAGGGCATCGAGAATCGCTAATTGATGACCCAGAAGCAAACAAAGGAAATTTTCTAGAGTCGCTGAATTACCTGTCAACCTTACGATATAACAACTGCGAATCGTCTTGAAAAGGATAGAAATCAACAAACTATATCGAGAAGAAAGGGCGGGAAAAAAGGTGCCAAAGGACGGGGTTCGAAACTAACTTTCCTCAGCAACGATACGCAGAATAATGTGATCAAAATTATTGGAAGAGAAATCGCCTCGCAAATTGTCAATGAAATCGGTAATTGCAGAGCATGGGCATCAATAGCCGACACCACACCGGATGTCAGTCACCACGAGCAGCTTAGTATTTGTGCAAGGATCGTTAATCGTAATGGAAAATGCTCCGAGCATCTTTTGTCTTGCAAAAGAGCTTCCGGTACAAGAGCAATGGAACTATACAATCTAATCTCAGAAACACGTCTCGAAAGGTGTGTCGTTTGGTAAACTCGTAGCACAAACATACGACGGCGCTTCGAATATGAGCGGCTGCTCAACGGCTTGCAAGCGATCATCAAGGAGAAAGTTGGAAAGCATGTTGCTTTTGCCGGTCCACTGTTATGCGCATACGCTTAATCTTGTTTTGTCCGACTCTGCAAGTGTTGATGTTCAAGTAATAAGCCTCTTCAATGACCTCGAAGCCTTGTACGTTCTCTTTAGCAAGACACAAAGAATCCATGATTTGTTCGAAGCTGTACAACTGGAAGAGAATCTGAAAGTCCTTTCCCTAAAGAGACTTAATACTGTTCTTTGGCATTCACGCGAGTTGTGTCTAAAGGTCCTTCTCTCTCGTTATGACTGCATTTTAAGTGTCCTGGAAACCGTTGCGTTGGACAGTTTAATTGATGGAAACCCACGAAAAACGAGCATTGGCTTATTGAAGCAGATTCAAACAAAGCAGTTTCTGGCTACCGCGTACCTCTTTCGAGAAATATTTGCATCCACTGGTCCGCTAAGCCGATATTTACAACGCGTTGATGTTGATTTTGGAAAAGCCCTGGGAATGGTCGAAAGCGCGATTGACGAGCTCAATGAATTGCGTAAACAACCGGAACTAATTATCAGATACGTTGAGCAAAAACACGACTCCCCCAGCGTGACTTGGCAACAACCAAGAATCAGACGTCGAAGACGAATGGATGATGAAAATGCCGAAGACGAACCAGGGCCTTTTTTAAGGATTTTCCCGGGGGGGGGGGCATTTTTTGAAAAGGGACCTTTCTGTGAGATAATATATTACAGGGAGCCTAGCAATGGCTGAAGGCCACGTGTGCGCCGAACATACCATGCACGCATGAATGAAGGGGGGGTGTACTCCCCCAGAAAATTTTTGAAATTTGAAGCACAGAAATGCCATTTCCTGCATTCTGAGCATCCAAATGCGCTCCAAAATGTATACTAACTATACTTGTATTTGAAATAAAAGAAGGAAAAAACCCACAAAAAGTAAAAAAATATTAACCATAATTTATCATTACTTATTAGAGGAGGATCCCAATGGTCACGTGTGTGGGGGTGTACTCCCAAGAAAATGTTTGAAATTTGAAACACGGATATGCCATTTCCTGCATTCTGAGCATCCAAATTTGCTCTAAAATTTATGCTAACTATACTTGAAATAAAGGAAGGAAAAAATGCACAAAAAGTAAAAAAGAATATTAACCGTAATTTATCATTATACTTATTAGAGGGGGATACCAATGGCCGAAGGCCACGTGTGTGGGGGCATAATCTCCAGAAAATTTTTCAAATTTGAAACCTGGAAATGCTCTTTCCTGCATTCTGAGCAACCAAAAAAATAAAAAATTATTAACAATAATTTATCATTACTTAGTGGTAGAAAAACGTAACAATTTAGATCGATTTTGTTAAACAAGGACAAAGGATAAAGCCTAAAACTTACTTTCCGTTTATTTATTTGTTATTCTTCGCTGTTTTGTTGGTATAAACTTAGGAAAAAGGGACTTTTCCTGGGAGGGCAAATGCCCCCCCCAGCTTGTATGTTAAAAAAGGCCCTGTAACCCTTTAAATGGCAATGTACCCTGATGCACCCTACTTAATAATATTACTTTACACTGTAAACACTATTAATCTTAATGAGTTAATTAGCACATGATTAATCTCTTTGCTATAATCTTACACACTCAGAAAAGTGATTAAATGAAAACAATGATCACCTACTAGACAGCTAGATCCTGTTTTAAAAGTTTAATGAGCCAATTACAAAAGTTGCTGATTACTGTTCACACCAATTATTTGAAAGCAGATTAATTAAACAAACTAATCAGCTACTCACTAGTACTGTATACTGTAGATGACTTTCAATAGTGTTTGTAAGTAGGTACCAGTAAATTGAAGGACATTTATCAGAACTTTAGCAAGTAAACTTTTCTATCCTGTGATACAGTTAATTCAATTGACATTCATTTGTCTTGATCTCCATGGGCATACAAGACGGGCTGGGGGTGGGGGAGGGGAGGGCAGCAGTCCCCTAGTGACCATGCAGTGCTTCTAAAGTCAGGCAGATTCTACTTACAAAATTTGTGCAATTTGCTAACCTAAGGCCTATATTTTGCATATTATTGTTGAGATATTAATATAATTAATATAAATAGATGGAAACTGAATAACATATTGAAATTCATTCAGACTGGATGCTGTAGAGTGAGGAGTTTTCAATGTACCGTGTCTTACAGAATGAAATTCCAGAAATGCTTGTGAATAGTTTTATAGATTTTTGTTTATCATTGTTAAAATGACTTCATTTTGATTGTATCTGTGTGGGAGATATATTATTTCTTTTTATCATCTATCAATGATAATTAATGTTGGGCAATCTACAATTAATCTACAATGACAATTAATCTGGATGTCGGGCAATGCAATGTCCAACAATGTTGGGCAAATTTTCTCTACCCGACCTTCTGTCCATATGCCTATGTTGATCTCAAATCACAAAATGTTGTGTTTATGTTTCTTGAACTGTATTTTTATTGAAATTAGATTTATCAAAAATTTAATGACATGAACGGATTTTTGAAATTGAGACTGCCTTTTCAAAATTTTCTACTTTTTTCTGATACACCCTATATTATATTAATTATTATTTATTATTCTATCTTTTATTCAGATCAAGACTATGCTTGGTGGGTTTATAATTCACGGTTATTTTGGACTATGGACTTTGATTGTTAAATCTCTTGGTATGATGCTGGCTGTAGCGGCTGGGTTAAGTCTTGGCAAGGAAGGTCCACTTGTACATGTGGCTTGTTGTTGCGGAAATGTCTTTGCAAAACTCTTTCCCAAGTATCGCAAGAATGAAGCGAAGAAACGAGAGGTAAGAACAAAATCATTTAAGTATTTGCTTGAAAGTATTGTTAGTTTTCATGGTGCGACACAGTCAGACAGACGAAACTTTTTACCTGAGCGATAACGTCAAATACCCATTAATTATACCACAATCTTGGACATAATAATAATAAATAATAGTTCAAATTTCTATATAGCGCTGCTTCCTGAAAAGATCTGAAAAGTTCAATAGCGCGCTTTACTCTCTAATAGATTGAATGATACGAATAATAATGATAATCATATGCATTTGAGTCTATAGTATGTTGCAAGTTTTAAAAGATTATTTGATATACAGTAAAAGTCTATCTACAAGTGTAACTGAGGGAAGGCTTCAATAAAAAGCCAAGTTTTAAGATGTTTCTTAAAGTCATCAATAGATCGAGTCTTTGTGGTTGAGATAACTGGTTGTGAAACGAAACAAAAGTGTCAAAGAAAACAAAAAGAAACAGGAAACTTCCCGCATAATTTTTGCTTTATAACTCGACGGTTTTATTATTCATCGGTGAACAAAAGTAGTATTTATTTAAGAACATATCCTACACTCGTTTTTTTTGCGACTTCAGAGTAAAAGTTAAGCCAGCTGCTTGTATGATCCCTGGGTACGAAATTAATTTGCGAGAGTGTACGACAATCCTTACTCTGTGGCCATGTGGAAACAAGCATAAAAATCATTCATGACAAACACTTCATGACACGTTCATGACACGTTCGCGACACGTTCGTGACAGTTACAACCATATGGAAACCAGGCTTAATGTCCACCGCTCAGAGTTGTTGCCGTGCAGGAGAGTCGAATTTCATGACTTTCACATGATACGCTCTCGTCCAATGAGATGCAAGAAAACACGAAGTTTGACAGTTATGGTACATAATAATGTAACTTGTCTGATGAACTCGAAAGTGTATACTTTCGCGGGGCCCGGGGCAAATATTCCCTGGGGGCCCCCATGACATCATTATTTTGAAGCTAGCCCAACTAGGCCTTAGCTATAGACTGCATGTGGATGTACTGTAAGGCGCTCTTAATTTCAAAAAATGCTCTGACCAATTTAAAGAACCTACTCAATTTTAGGCTCTCGCTTTCAAGTTGGGGCCCTATTAAGGGCCCTGGGCAATTCCCCCCCCCCCCCTTCGGCGGCTCTGATACTCAAAGCAAACTACTCTGGCTCCACAGCTAGCTAACACGAATTTGAAAATTATGGTAACCACATATAAATCATGAGCATTCTCTAGTTATAATCACTCCGCGTATTTTCAGTTCTAAAATGTTGTATTTGGACTGATGAGAAAGATCGTTACTCAATCTTTACGCAGTGGCTTAGCCAGAACGATAATTTTTTGGGGGGGGGGGCATATTCATATATTCGTGTTCACATACCATAAAAACAATTGATTTCGAAAGAAATTAATAAAGCAGAACACGAATATATGAATATGGGCCCCCAATTATCGTTCTGGCTATGCCACTGTCTTTACGACCATAAGGAAACCAGGCTTTAAAGTGCCTATGTAACGAATGTTTCACCTCATTTTTTATTGTTTTTCTAAAAAGTAATGCTGGAGTGATGAAGAATGACGTTTACAGTTTCGTCATATCTCATCTCATCTCATTCTCAAGTTATCACACTTTCTATATTTTGAGTTGTGACGTCACAAGTATGAGTTGAGATAATGGCAGTAACAAGAAAGTATGATATCTTGGTGAGTATTTAATAAAATTCAATGAAACTTGGTACACTTAGTGGGTGCACTCATATGAATATTTTGGGTAGGTCATGGGGTTGTCATGGCAACACGCTAGTCCCCAGTCTCTTCTCTTCCTTTCACAACTTTCCTCCCGTAGACCTCTTGCAGAGGATGTTTACATGTTATAACTGTATAAACTGATCACAATACCTACACGTATTATAGTAATAAGCGAAAATTGTAGAAATTGCTATTTATTTCGTTGAAAATGGATAATATAGAAATTGGAAGAGAAGGGACTGGGGACGAGTGTGTTGCCATAACAACCATATAAACAAGTCAAAATTGTTGACTTTGTTGCACCCACTAAGTATACCAAGTTTCATTAAATTGTATTAAATACTCACCAAGATACCATACTTTCTTGTTATTGCCATTATCTCAACTCATAATTGTGACGTCACACAAAATTGTCAGAAAAGTGAAAAGTAGTCCGTGGTCACTGACTTTCTGCTGAACATAACATTGGTCTCTAAACTGCGTTGCAATTAAGTTGCAGAAATAATTGCCTCGTGTAACATGACCTGAATAACTCATTTTATTTTAGGTTTTGTCTGCAGCATCAGCGGCAGGGGTTTCAGTTGCATTTGGAGCTCCAATTGGAGGAGTGTTATTCAGCTTAGAAGAGGTATAGTAATACTGGTGAATCAACTCTTAATAAACAGTTATTGGATGAGGTTTTTGTGATATCCAGAATTTATCAAGGTCGAGGTCCTTGATAATTTGGGATTATCATATGACAAAAACGAATTAACCGACTGTTTCATTATGCATTGCATTTCCAAGAACTCTTTCGACAAACAATGTCAATGATATGGTTCTCATAAAAGATTAAAAGCAGGTTCATAAAAGATTAAAAGCAGATAACAGATATGATTGGTTCTCATAAAAGATTAAAAGCAGCGAAAACAATTTACAATATCACAACACCATAAAAATATTAGAAAACTTATTAACAAAAAACGATAAAAATGTCTGCTTTTTGCACAATATACACTCACAAAATTGAAAAACGCCAGCTAGACTTCGTTTATGTTAAAATGTATAAGTAAACATTGAAATTATAATGCTGTTATCTGCAGGTTGATCCAGCAGACTGAGTATAGAAATTTATAGCAAGCGGCAGTTTTAAACACGCGAAGAAAAACAAGAAAAAAATGATCAGTATTTGCCCCCGCCTCGCCTTCGTCTCGCCTCATTAATCAGATATACAGATGGGCTACTCGTGCATGCTTTGCATATATTATTTAGTGTATTTTATTTGTTGTGAGTGGGGTGAGTTAGTAGAAAAGGAGGGCTAATCATTGTTTTCTTTGGGAGAGTATAATAGGTCTTATTTGAGAGGGAAACGCAATAGAATATGTACTGTATTCTAATTTATGCTGTATTGTAGGTGAGCTATTACTTTCCAATGAAAACCTTGTGGAGATCGTTTTTCTGTGCCATGGTGGCCGCAGTGACGTTGAAATATATGAATCCATATGGAACTGGAAAACTTGTCTTGTTTTATGTAAAATATACAACACCTTGGAAAGTTTTTGAATTGGTCCCGTTTACTTTACTTGGCGTATTTGGGGTAAGCTTCTTTTGATTTATTAGTTATTAGTATATGTATCTTGGACCATTACAAATCCAGCATTCTGAATTTCTGATTTCTGATCGGCCACTCGACCATGGACCATTACGTAAGGGTCCATGGTTAAAAAAAAAGATGGCAGAAAATTTTGTTTTGCAACGCGTTCGATGGAATTTTGTCGAAATTCTTTCCCCGAAGAACAAAAAAGACTACTAAATATGATCCGAAGACGTTTAATGGTAGGGAGCGAATTTTAAACCTAATCTCATACCTAGCGTATTAGCGGCTTTCCTATTGGCTACGAGGAGGTGCGTTCAATCTCTTATCCCATACCTGTGTTAAAAGCGGCTTTCTGATTGGTTTAGAGCAGGTGAGCTTGTCGTCGAGCTCACCTGCTTTTTGCCGAGCTCACCTGCTTTTCGCCCGAACTCACCCGCTAAACTGCTTACGTTGCAATAACAATAACAAATATGGCGGACAAGATTTAGCCGATAAACCTAAACTTTAAATTAAAGAACTTTTTCGGTGACTAACATACCGAGACTGAAGAAAAACCAAAGAAAAAATGCAGTAAAGGTAATGTAGACGTAGATAAAGAAGTATTTTCTTGCCCAGTGATTTTTTTGGCCGGGAAAATGTTCACAAAACATCGACGAGACGACGAATATATCGCGAAGAGTTACAAATGTGTGTATGGCTCGGTGTATGGGATAAAAACCAAACGTACTTGCAGGTTCGGTGAGTCCGGGATTGGACGCACCTCCCTGCAAGTACGTTTGTTATATTATCTCATACCTAGCGTATTAGCGGCTTTCCTATTGACTACGAGGAGGTGCGTTCAATCTCGAACCCACCTGCTGACGTAAGTTTAGGAGATGGGTTCGAGATCGATGTTTCGGCGGCGGCCATTATGAAGCGATTTGAACAAATTTCAGACGAAGATTTAAATAAAAAATATATTAACTGTTTTTAATTGTTTTATAATTATTATTTTTTTATTTTGTTTGATAAAAATGAAATATTCTGTATTCAAAGTGGAAGAGAAGAAAGATGGCCGCCGAAATTTGTTCGGCATGCACGGGCAGGTTTAAAGTATAAATCTTGGCAATGTTTTCGCAGAATGTGTGCATTTTCTCTTTTCAAAAATGAGGGAATATTGTAGAGAATTTAATTCATTTTAATCCTAAGTTTGTTTGTTTGCGTAGTATGTTGGCGGCTAAAATGTTCGTTATCCAAACAAGAAATTATATACCGCTAAAATGGGTAAATTCTTCTGTCACTCTGTCAGTACTTTTTAGTATTTTACTGAAATGGCATGTGATAAAAACCAAACATACTTGCAGGTTCGGTGAGTCCGGGATTGGACGCACCTCGGGTGGTTGGACGTTTCCCGAACCCACCTCACTTCGCTCGGTGGGTTCGGGAAACCTCCACCCACCCTCGGTGCGTCCAATCCCGGACTCACCTCCCTGCAAGTATATGTTTGTTATAAAGTCCGGACTCGAGTACTACAACACTGGTCGACACATCATCACCTTAGCTTATACTTTTGATCGTATTTGGTTGTTATAGGGAGTACCATGCAGTCAACCTTAATTGGTATTTATTTTCAAAACTGTTGAGACTGTGCATGTTCATTCTCTTATTACTATCCTAATTTTTTAATTATTTTCAAATTGTGTAATATATTTGATTATAACATTTAATATGTACTATATTATACATGAAAAATAAGTAATTACTTCAACTGTCCCGTACATAGCAAAATGTGAATATTGACCTGGAATTATGTGGATCTAATAAGAAGCTCATCCAACAAAATTATAATGTGGAGTGCCTCATAGTACGAATTAATGTGGGACCATTAATGTCTCATACATGTATCAACAAGTTACGTTGTTTTATAGTTGGGATATACAGCATTTACTGGCAACGGATTATCACTAAATATTATGTTCTATTACTTTTTCGAAAATACCATTGTTTACAATGCAATGGCATGCATGCAGTCACTCGATCACTGACATTGTTTAATTTAACTTACTGTATTACAGAATTTATACAAAGAGTCCTTCTAAGCAATAATTTTGCCGGCATGAAAGGTAGGTCGACAAGAGTTCAACTCTCTGATTCTTGGGATAAAATCGGCTCCGTATCTCTTGTTGTGATAATATTTCCAATGTAACTTCCACATGTTGTCGGCTCATCGTTCATTTCATCCTCACAACTTGGATTGATCTGTAGCACCATCGATGGCCCTGAATCTTCATTCTTCGCGACATCAGCAGCAACCTGAGTACTTGCAGGAGTATTTGCGGTTGAAAATGTCACAGCATTTTCCTGGCGCCTCTTCCAGCACTTTCTGGCAAAGAACACGATAAACATAAAAATGGGAAATGCCAAAATTAGAGCAATGATGACGAATATCCCAGAGTTACGTACAGACTTATCCGATTTGAGGTGCTCGCTGACTTTAGGAACATCGGCAAACCAACAGAGCGCAGTGGTTATGATAGCCAGTATAAATATAAGTGTAAGGATCACATAACAAAAATGAATCTTATGGCACGTCATTTGAAGACAAGGCCAGTACACGACGCAACATGGTATCTGATTCGTTCCTTCCCGGCCGGCGATTTGAATCTGACAACCATCGTCGCACACTGCACTTGATCGTTGGATATTTTCAACGCCGCGATTGACAAAATCTTGTTGGTTAAACGGCTTAATTGCGACAGGACTCATCTCGGTAGATGTAGTTGGCTCAGATTTAACATTGACATTTTGGCCAACATCCGTTGTTTCGAGACCTTCAAACCTCTCCACAAGAGAAACAAGATCATGTCTGTGTATGGCATTTAGGATTTCCTTCAAGTAATCAACATTTTCTTCGCTAATGCAACGATTATGACGAAGATGGGTAAACAAATGGTGACCACTTGTTATGGTGGCTTTACGGCTTTCCTCAACATGGCAGATGTAAACGAGATCTTCCAAGTCGTTTGGATTCAAATCACGACTTATCTTTTGCAATAGAACATTGAATTTCTCCATGAAAATATACCGTTAGTGAATATTTCGCTTTAGATAGAACATATTGCATATATATTTAATACAACAGAGAAAATGGTATTTTCCCTTATACATACAGAATACTGCAATGCAGGAGCCAATAGAAATTTGGCAGCATGATCGCGGGGATGATGTCGGACATGCATATTTGTTAATGACCATAAATTATCGTTTTAATTTAAACACCCACGTTTGTTGCGTTGCTGTATTGTGGCGTTCAATTTTCAACGGCACAAGGAAAAACGCATAAAAACGGTATATAATCAAAATTTGACTAACAATCTTGCATGATCATGATGATCCCTTTCCTGGTAATCCTCCCAAAAGTAAGAGACGAGAGTATATCTTAGTTGATAAACACGAAAGATTTGTGCCGGCGTAGGTAGTGACAAAAACGTCAGAAAATTGAGATGGATGCATGGGATTCACTAAACTATTTGAAAAATACTTGGCCATTTCGAGCGAAGGCCCTAATTGTCAGGAAGTTCGAAACCTTCGCTCGAAATGCCGATGTTTTACTTGTATTTTTCAGGAAGTTGAATCCCTATCCATCTATATTTTAGTTTACCGGAGTTTATTTTGTTACTGTTTATACAGTAAGACACTTTGTCTATAGAGCCTCGTTTTCGTGATTGAGACATTGTGACTTACTAATGTCATCACACACGAGGCCTTATATATAGCCAAGTAACGTACTTTCCGTTAAGGTATATTTCTCATTAATTTTGTTTTGCACTTGGGCTAAATATCTCGCAACCTATACGATATTTTAATGAGCCTTTAGTGGTACATGATGGAAATATCACATTGCTCAGTCCACTGATCTATATACGTACTCATAATGTACCATTGGTTCTGTATGCCAAGACCGTCGGAAGCGAGGGACTGGTGGGCCTTGGGAGCCCCCCACCCACCCCGTAATAATTTCCATTTGTATATTAAGAAAAACACACAAAAGAACTAGGAAAGTGCTAAAGCAATTCAGATTTATTCTTCACACCTCCCCCCCCCCCCCAAAAAAAAAAAAAT